GTGTACTTTCGGTGATGAAGTGGTATTCCCGTTTCGTGGCTCATGCGAAGCATCGTGTAGGGAGATGATTCACTTGCCGCCGCCGGCCTCGTCGCAGATCGAAGTTCGGACAGCGCTGCGTCGGTACGTTGAGAGCGACGGCAGCGTCGTGCATGCGTGGCAAACCATTGCCGACGACCAACTGCATCCCGTTGACGAGCGCCATGTCATTGGCCAACGGGAAGGCTGGTACTTTTCCAAATTCCAGTCCGAGAAGCTAATGACGATATGTGCATTGTAGGACGACGATCCACGCCGTGGACGGTGGCGCGTTTGTCCAAGTCTGCGTGCAGCTGTCGCTGCCCGCGCGACTGGTATCGGCGGAGGCGATGACGACGGAGGCGCTCGGCACGCTCATCCTTCAGACGACGGAGGCCAACTGCGCGCGCTTTTGCAGCCAATTGGATCGAGCCATGCAGAGCTGTCTGCGAAAGCAAACGCGTGTTTGAATGGAATATTGTCTTGTTATGCTAAAATCGTTTCCATCTTATTTGTCCGTCGAGTTTGCCCTTTTTGGAAAACGCTCCGAGCTCTCAAATCATATATGCAGTACGATGCATGGCTGGCCGTTCCCAACATAGATCATTTTCTTGATGACGATACTGACCAATACCTCGGTCGTTCTCGTGACGCACTTGAGAGGTAGCCGCAACGTAGCTGACGGTACCCGGCACTGGTGCGTTGGCCGCGCGTTCTATTTTGTGGAGCGTGGAGCGGCTCCACGCTCCACAAAAGAGAGAGCTCAATAGCATGCTTGCGTGTACTTTGTGGCACTTGGACCGCATGATGTTTCTTCCCTTGGCGGTGTTTCGTGGGAAGAGACTTGAGCCCTTGCTGGGCCGCACATAGAGCTGCGTACATATTTTATCAGTGAGAGCGGGCAAGATGACGAAGGGTGTCCTGTCCAACGTCGGTCGTCGTTGTAGTTGAAGAGGCATGTCTACCCCACGAGTGGAGGCTGAAATCAAGCATCGCTGTTTCTAGGTAATCGCCCTGGCCTTTCTTTGTTGTGCACACTGGGTGGAGGGTCTTTGCAGATAGACGGGGTGTCTCGTGCCGGCAAGGCGTCGGAAAGGACTTTTCACGTGAAGTCGGCTCCGCAAATCAACGACTTTTCGAGAGAGCCTCGAATTCTAGTTGCCGATCTCTGCCACTCAACCTGCCACGCCGCACCCGAGGTGCACTGCCTTCTTTTCCCTTGAGCGAACACGCAAGTGTTCACATGGCGTGGTCGCTCGAAGTACCGGCGGGGTAAATTGAGCGAAAAACTCAAAGAAGCCCAGGTCGATCGAGCTCTTGAACGAGGTTGCGATGTCGGTGACGTCGAACGACCGCTTGACGGCCATCGTCCATGGACTCGAACATGGTCGGTCTCTGCAAAAGACGGGATCGTTGTGCCAGACGTTGAAGCAGATGCGAGAATCGCCGCGATGGTCGCAAAGGAGAACTTTTTGCCGTTGTTCGAGGTCCGGCGCATAGGCTTGAGCTCCTTTGGTGTCCAGCGTCGGAACTCGGTCTGGTTCGGCTTCGTACCGCGACTCGAGTGCTCCTGTATGCGTCGAAAGTGCAGCATATGCCCGACAAGGTAGACACCTGAAACGCGTGTGGGACACTGGAAGTGGAGCAGCTGCAACTAGCATCACCAAAGCTGCTTCGATTGGCGGGCCAAGGGACGGCAGCGACAGGCTTCTATATTACTGTAGTCCATCTGCTCGAAACAACGCCAGGAGACGCCATATGCCCGCAGGTACCGCGCGGCGCGTTAGTAGAAAGGGCGCTGCTACGTGCATGACTTGTTGGGCAAGTACCCGAAGGCTCATGTAACGGTGTACCCAAGATCTCTTGACATCGTAGCATCGTCGTCACGTGCTTCCGACCACCCACGCGATGTGTCTCTTCCTCTTGACGACCTCGGAGACCGGAACCGCCTCGTTCCGGCCTGCTGCCGCCACTCGCTCCGAGTCGAGCGTGCACGACCAAAGCAAAGTACATGTGGGTAGAGCCACACCATCGACGCATGGCAGTGACAACAAGTGTTGCGTAAAGAAAGGTGCATGACTCGTCCAGAAATCGTCCAGCGCCCGACTGCTGATCCTCCTCTCGCTTCGAAAGAAGCGCAGCACAGTCGGAAACAAACATATACTAGTACTGGTCAGAGACCACATGGCCAGTGTTGTATAACGTGGTCGTGATGGTCACCACAACTCGTTTTGCCTCCTGCCGCAACAACAGCATGACCGACCGATGCTGCTTTCCAAATGAGAAGGTCGACGACATTTCGATTGCAACGATCTCGGCATTTCTCGCACCGACCGCCGACTTTGGCGACAACTCATGCTCGTCCTCGTCCTTTGCGTCTTCCGCGCCACCGACCTCCCCGACCACCACCATCACCAAGCAACGCTACATGCGACCCAAGCAAGAAATCGACGCGCTTCGTATCACCTACGCCAAGCTCCGGCGTCAATTGCACCTCCTCGAGACACGGCTCGCCAACGTCCCAGCAGCGGCGCTGCCGTGGCAAACCCGCGCCATTGAGCAAGCCAAAGGCGTGCAACAAGCGATGCACGAGAACCTTCGGCTTAAAAACATGGTGACGGAGCGCGCGCAGGTCATTGAGACGCTCCAAAGTGTCCTCACCAAGCACCCGAGTATTCTTGTCGACGACGGCTCGTGGATGCTGGGCACATTGGGGGCACATGACCGCACGCAGCACTTGGAGCAGCTTTTGCGGGCCCAGTACGACAAGCGCAGCCGCGAGTGGGTTCGGCACGGCTTGTACGACGTTCGTCACGCCTGCCTCGAGCAACACCGGGCGTTTGTTGACTGCGACTCGGACGAGACGCTCTCGCTGGTGTGTCTCCTCTCTCGAAAGGTGCCGCTCTCCGTGCACGACATGAGCCACGTCCTCTGGAGCCTCAAGTCGCGGCCAGCCGACAACCGATGTGCCGTACGTCATTTACGACAACTTGTCCACTTTGCTAACAGGACAGGACTAGGTACTGCAAACGTTTCACGACAACCTCATCTATGTTCGGTAAACTGCAATCTCACATGACGGTTTCGTGTCTCATTCGACACCTGGTGTAGGGAGATGATTCCGCTGCCGCCGCCGGCCTCGTCACAGATCGAGGTGCGGACAGCGCTGCGTCGGTACGTCGAGAGCGACGACAGCGTTGTGTTTGCATGGCGGGCCATTGCCGACGACCGACTGCATCCCATTGACGCACACCACGTCATCGGCCAACGGGAAGGCTGGTACATTTCCAAATGACGCCCGAGAAGCAAATGTCAATATGTGCATTCTAGGACGACGATCCACGCCGTGGACGGTGGCGCGTTTGTGCAAGTGTGCGTGCAGCTGTCGCTGCCCGCGCGACTGGTATCGGCCGAGACGTTGCCGACGGAAACACTCAACGAGCTCGTGCTCCAAACCATCGAAGCCAACTGCGCGCGCTTCTGCAGCCAGCTCGATGGGGCCATGCAGCGTTGTCTGCGGCAGAAAGCCGCTTGTGCATGAAGTCCAATCCAAATTTTAGTTTATATGGTCAACTTTGTGTCGTTGATACCAGTTGTACTAACTAAAAAACGAAAATTGGCGACAGAGTTGTGCTGTTGGATCTTGGAACCAGTCGAGGCAACCATCACTCTTGGTGGCAGAGTGACGGTCTTCGTCGTCCTGTCGAAGCAGCATTAGCCGAAGGTCACCGAACGATCTTGACCGGCCACTGCAGCGATGGCCGCGCTCCTCGACGACGACAGCGACCAGCTCTCGGCCTTCCTCGCCTCGACGACCGACTTTGGTGATGGTGCCAAGCGAGCCAAGGGCGGCTACCAGCGGCCAAAGGAAGAGCTCGAGTACCTCCGTCGCAAGCACGATGTGCTCACGCAGCAGCTCCACGCGCTCCACGCGCAGCAGGCGCTCGTGCCCGTGAGCTCGCGCTGGGCAGTGCGCGCGATCGAGCAGACGCAGCTGGCGCAGCGATCGTTTCTCGAGAACAAGCGGCTCAAGGAGATGGTCGAAGGCCAGTTGCAGATGATATCGTCGCTGCAAAAGATGCTGCTCAAGCACCCATCGCTCTCGACGTTCCGGCCCTCGACAGGCCTCAGCATCTTGGGCATTGCCCACCGGCGGGAAGAGGTCGATGCGCTCATGGCGTACCACCTTGAGCGGCTCGAGTCCGAGTGGATTCGCCACCGCCTGTACGAAGCGCTCGACGACGAGTCGCCGCTCAACCAGCTCACGGTCCTCGAGCCAAGTTCGACGTCGCCCGAGATTCGTCTGAGCTACGTCGGGTCGCAGTGCATGCCATTGGACTTTCGCACCATGGGCGACGTACTCTGGGAGCATAAACTCGGCGACCACCACCCGATCTCCGAGGTCCATCTGTCCTCATCTTGCTACATCGTCTAACCATTCTAGCGTCTAGATTCTAGAGCGCTATAACGACGATCTGGTCTACGTACGGTACACGCATCTGCCGTGTGCCATCACAATAACCGAGCGTGCTGGTAGCGAAGAAAACGAGTTGCAAAACTCAGACGCCCCGGTGCTCGAGTCCCGGTCCATCGTCCAGCGCATCCAGCAAGCCCAGCGTGTGGTCATGCTATGGCGCTCGATACTAGAAGACCGCCTGTACCCCCATGCCCCGAACCGACTCGTCGCCAATCGCATGGGCTGGTATGTCAATCATTTCTTATTTCATTTGATTCGCAGTCAGCACGCGTGGGGGTAGGGTCGTTATCCACCCGCGCAGCCAAAACGAGTGCATTTTACAGACCGTCGTGGTCATGTCGACGCCGATCGCGTCGAGTCTCATGGTGCAGCCGGCCGTCGGTACGCTGACCGAACTCGTGCTCCACACGTCCGAGGCGAACCGCCGCAAGTTTGGCGTCGGCTTGCACAACGCTGTTGCCGCGCGCGTCGCCGCCTTACAAGACACTGTGCCGCCGTGTTTGGAGCATCCTGCCACCAAGCGTCGGCGACGATAACGCGATATTCCTAATCACATCCTATTTTTTTTATTCCTAATAGCATCCTGAAGCGTCACAGAACCGACAGACGGCTACCTGAAATTGGTGTCATATGCAAATGGCAAAATGACCTGCTGTTGCGATGGTGTCTTGGGAACGAGTAATGTATTAGCTGTCGTCCCCAATTACATAAATACTCTGGCTTCCGTAAAAGGCAAAGATAGACCGGGTTGGGCGCGGTTAGGCCATGCTAGGGCTAGGTTAGGTTAGGTTAACGAAGCGACGTCTGCCCGAAGCGCGCGCCAATCGACAAATGTTCCAATAAAATAGGGATATGGAAACTACTTCTATTAGCATATGGCGTGGACGACGCTGGAGGACGCTTAGCACGACGACCGCATGGCTTGGCGCCGCGCTTCGACTTCGGCCGTCAAGGCCGCGTCAAAGCGGCCCGAGTTGGTTGCATACAGACTCAAGATCGTCTCGGTCATCGAGCCGCGCTGCATGGATGGGAGCACGGGTGTCGTGAGTCGCGAGTAGGCGGCGAGGCGGCACCCGTGGGGTCCGTCGGGCGTAATCACAGCCCTATGACAAGGTGGTCACTACGTCTCTTTTGCAGATCGGGTTGTACCAGCCGGCTTTGTTGTCTTTGACGTGGACTTGGTCGGAAAAGGGCACGAGCGCATCGTCGGCAATTGACTTCCATACGATCACGACGCGGTCTTTTTCTACGAAGCGCATGGACGCAGTCCGGCCTTCGACGGGCGGAATGTCCATGTGTTCACTCCACGTGCGCGCGGTATGGCTACGAGTTGTGTTTGTACATGGCACGATATGGACTCCAAGGCGCACCGCGTGTACACGAGCGTGTCGTTCTGAAAGCTCTGAAGCCGCTCCGAGTCGACTTTGTTCTTGACTGGAATCTTGACGTTGAGCGAGACAAAGTCCCAGAGAATTCGACTAAACGATTCATAGTCGATGGGCCAGCGCTTGCATCGTACGAGATGCAGCACAATGTTGTCTGCGGTGCTCTCGACAAACTCGCGCGTGGTCAACGTGTCGTCACCGACCAGCGAATCCCGCAGCGGGTAGACCTTGTGCCGGATGAACTCGGTGTCGAGCTTGTCGTACTGATGGCGCAAGATGGCCTCGAGATCCTCCTCGCGGTTCTCGACGCCGAGCATGTACCTTCGCCACGGCAGCAAGTCGTGGTGCTTGGGCGTCGGGTGGGTGAGCTTGGGCTTCTTCTGAAAGACGCGCTCGAGCGCCTGGATCATCTTGAGCTGGTCCTCGTACGCTGCCTTGAGCCGGACGTTCTCTTGCAGCGCGCGCTGGGCAGCTTGTGCCTGGTTCTGCGCACGTTTGTGCCATGGGTCGTCGTCGGTTGGCACGATAACCGCGGCTTGCAGTGTCTTCAACTGCGTCAGAAGGTACCGCTGCTTGGAGTGGAGGTACTCGAGCTCTTCTTTCGGCGTCGTGCGCATGCGCTTCGTCGGCGCCGTTGGCAGTGTCGAGGACGGCGACGACGACGACGACGATGGGCTCGAACTCGGTTCGGCGGTTGGTTGCGGCTGGCGTGGCGGCTTGGCCGGCGCTGCAAAGTCGCCGAGCTCGGCGAGAAAGTCCGACACATGCGAGAGCGAGATCTCTTCCATGCGCCCATGCGTCTCATCGAGGAAGAGCGCGTCGAGCGGGTCCGTCGCCCACGTCGTTCCGTCGGTCCTGCGCGCCATTGGGTTGGCCGACAAATACCTGCTGGTGCCACGTTGGGCAATTGGGCAAGCGTCCGGATAAACGTCCGGATACGACGCACCACCTCGCTGGTTGCGTTTAAAAAGACATCCCGGGCATACAAACACCAAGTTTAATTCAATCGCGGGATCGATTACCGCCGATTCCAAACGCGTATACGACAGAGTTGACAGATTTTGTGGACAAAATATAGACAATATGTACACAGTCAAACGATAAGGACGGAGACTAATGATATGCGAAGGACAAAGCCCGCGTGCAATGAATATTGCGGTCGACACTGGCGAGGGAGCCGTGTCGCTGTGGCAGGTGCGACGTCATTCGTTGACCGTCGCAGAATGCGCCAGGCTACTCGCTCGATTCCCGATCACATCATAGCGGCAGCGACGCTATGCGTCTTCGTCGGGCAATATTCGTTGCCATCGGCGTCGGTGGTCCTAACCTTACTAGGTTTTATGCTCTTTTGGTGGTCAAATCGTCCAGTCGGGTGTCGGAACGCAAACGTAGGACCGCTGCGTTTGCGAGTCAGTGGCTATTCGGTGAGAAGCTCAACAGTAATTTGCTTGGCCAGGACGTTGGCCACATCAGAGGCGGAGCAGTCGCACGGACCTTTGCCTCTGGCGCCATTTCGGAGTGTATGTAGGACCTACATTGGATTCCCTTAGATGAGTTGATACAGGCCCATTTCCGAGACGTCATCATTTTTGGTGGCATTCTGCAGCAGCACCATGTCGACAATAGATGACATCTTCGCCGACTACCTGGGCCGAAGCGACGGCGCGGACCTGGACAGCGACATGTTCCTTGAAGAGATCTTACTTGCGCCGACGGCCCTTCTTCCGGCGGACGAGGCGAACGCGCCGGCCCGCAAGAAGCCCAAGCGCCGCCTCAAGACCGAGCTCGACTACCTCCGCGCAAAATGCAGCGACCTTCAAGACGAGCTCCGCGCGCTGGAGGGCCGTGTGACAGTGCCCTCATTGTCGATCTGGGAAGCGCGCGCCACCGAGCAAGCGCTGGCCGCCCGACGCGCGACCCAGGAAAATGCCCAGCTCAAGCAAGCACTCGAAGAGCAGCTCAAGCTCATCCAAGTGCTCGAGCGCGCGTTCCGCAAGATCCCGCGGCTCAGTGCCTTCCCATTGACGTCCGAGGGCTGGCGCCACGCGCGACTTAGCGCGAGCGATCGTTCGACGGACGCCACGGCGCTCCTCGCGCACCAGTTGACCAAGCTCGAGTCCGAGTGGATTCGCCACTCGCTCCACACCAAGGAGGACAAGCGCAAGGTGTGGGTCCAAGGCAATTCGCAAGGCGACGTCGGCCTCGTCATGCACTTCGTCAATTCGCATGCGTGGGCCATCGACTATGAGCAGCTCGCTGACATTTACTGGGAGTACATTGTGGCCCAAATTCCCGCTGATTTTTCAACGCCCGTGCACCTCGAGGTATGTGCTGTATTCGAGCGAGACTCTAACCCAGGGGGCCTTGTGCTAGGTTCTCGAGCAGTGGGCGCCCAACTTGGTCTACACACGGTATCGAACCCCTGGCCGAGCGCAGAGGCGGTAACGGAGGAGGCATTAGGTACCAAGCCCAGGACGCAGCCAAGCAATTTCCGGTGTTCGAAGGACGGACGGTCACCCAGCGCTACGACCAAGTGGGCCGGATTGCGTTTGTGTGGCGCTCCATCTTGGACGACGACGGTCGCCCGTTTGATCCGAACCATGCGCGGGACAACCAAAGCGGCTGGTACGCACTTCGATCCTCGATGACCGCTGTAGAGTACGATTAAATTAGGGCGGTCATTGAGCCCGAGAGCCCGACGCGTGCCCGGTTTTCGATTTACTTTACGCTGACGCCGCCCATCCTCCCGGCCGCGCACCTCGGGTGGCCCCAGTTTCCCATCGGCGCGTTCACCGACACGGTCACATCGATCTTTATGGCCAATAGCGCCAAGTTTGTCGTCGCGCTCGAGGCGCAAGTCGCAAAGCGGACACGCGCCATTGCCAATGAATAGTAGCCATCTATCGCAACCTCCGAGGCCATATAAGATCTGACAGCTGGGCAGCCTCTTGCCGTTAAAACGCTGGGTACGTGGCGTGACGGCCAGTGCATGAGCAAAAAAAATATTCGCATCTCGCTTGCGCCGGGTGGAGTTACATGCTCAGCGCTGCTCGACTGCTTATCGTACGAGCATTACAGCAGTCAAGAGAGCGCCTGCCGAGCCTGTAAGGGCCACGCGTGGCATATGTCGCACGGGTCTCCGTCTCATTAGGATGAAAGCAATGCCCTTCTTTTTACTTGCAATGACAGTGCACCGTACGCCTCACAAAGCCAGAGCTCGCATGCATAGACTCTAAGATCGACTCAAGGTGCTCTCGACACTGTTGCAAGGCCGCGTTGAATCGTCAAGTCGACCGCGTCGCAGCTGGCATGGACTTGCTGCAAGAGCGACTCGGTGAGCATGCCGGGTGCGCGGACGACGGTATTTGTCTCTCTCAACTCGGGCACGAGCGGTGGTTTGGTCGTCGAGTACGACAAGAGCCGCGCGTGTTTCGCGTCTTTTTGCTGTACCACAACCCTAACGGTTCGTGCAGACAACCCGATTTCTTCCGAGAGACACGACGTACCAGCCACACTCGTCGCCCTGGAGGTGATGCTGCGGCGTTGGAAACAGCGCATCGTCCAGAATCGAGCGCCACACAATGACGACGCGCGTCGCTTCGTCAAAGCGCCGACACGCAATGCGACTCTCGACGGGCGGGAGGCGAGGATACGGCGCGGGTGGCGTGCACAAGCCGACATACTGTGCGTAGACCATCGTGTCGGAGAAGACCTCGACCGCCTGCAAATTTGTCCTTTTTCGAGGTAGTTGGTAGTAATTGGTTACCGTTTTCTTCAGCGCCATGGTGATATCAATGTCGGTTCGGTCGACAAGGAGTTGCCACACAACGTGCGCGAGCTGCGTGAACGCCACGGGCCACGAATCGCACTTAAGAATGTCGAGGCGCAGCGGGCCGTCGTCCGTATGCACGCGCGTCTCCAAGATGCCATCGTCGTTGGCTTCGTACGCGTGGAGCCCATGCCGCACCCACTGCGACGGTAGCTGCTCGTACTGGTGCTGCAATAAAGCCTCCAAAGTCTCTTTTCGTCGCTCGACCCCGAGCGTCGGAACCTTGTAGTGCTCGATCGACTGCAACTGACACAGACTGGGCTGCTTGAGAAAGAGCTTTTGCAGCGCGTCGAGGACCTTGAGCTGGCTCGCGAGGCTCGTGCGCAACCGCATGTTCTCGTTCTGCGCTTGCTGCGCCGCGCGGACTTGGCCAAACGCGCGGCCTTTCCAGATCGACACGTCGGCCGTCACTTGCAAGAGCGCGAGCTCCGCTGCCAGCGCCGCATGCTTGGCCCGCAGATACGCCAGCTCGTCCTTCATGCACGTGCGCTGGCGCTTCTTGGACGCGCTTAGCGCGCTCGTCAAGGACGCATCATCGGCCACAGGCACGAGCGCCGAGACGTCGTCGGCGAAGGCAGCGTCGCTCCGGTCCAAGAGGCTCGCGAGGTCATCCATGGTGGTCTTGCTGGTTGAAATAATTGTACCGCGATGCCATTGGCTGTAATTTCCTCCATCGACCAATCAAAACACCGTATTCGTGATTACCCGACGCTGGCGTGGCATCGCCGTCTCGTCTCGATGATGCAATTATTGCGATCCACAGTGCACGGACGCATGGTACTATCTCTAGTAGCCTACAGTACTAGAGATACGTGAACCCTTGTACGCGTAGTTTGGCTCACGCAGCGTGTGGCGGGTACAATCACGTCCTTTCTACGCACCGAACGGCGTGGGGCTCGATGCTGAGGTCGTAACGAGCTGCATGATGGCACGGCGACTGTTGCAAGCGTAAACATCATCACGAACCCCTTCAATAGCTCGTCGGCGCTCTGCAAGCGAGCACGTCTGTAGCTGCGTAGGCTGTTTGTCGACAACACGACAAGTCGGCGGCGGGCCCGTCGCCAAAGACGAAGTGACCCGGTGAGAACATCGCACAACCGTCCTCATGTGCTGCTCGCTTGTCATGTCGACAGTGCATGCGGCAAGAACCCGTCTAGAGAGACAAGGACACACACAATCTGGTGTTGACGCGTCGTTGGCCGTCGAGTCCGTGCAGCTAGAACCTTCGCGCGGGCAAACCTTGTCCGGAGCCCGCGTGCGTCAACCATTCGAGCCGTGAGCGCACCACGCTAAACGAAGCCGCATCACAAGGCAGTGTTGTGCGGGTCGTCGAGAATATGTTGAATTGTTATCCGAAAGCGAGTTATCGCTTTGGCGGATAAGATGCAACATGCACTCGGTGTCCAGGCGTAAACTCGCCAAGAGGACTCTCCGGTGAGACCCTCAACAACTATCCTAGGGAGTACAGCACTGGCTCTGAGGGTTAGGGGGCTGAGATTCGTACCGGCGGCATTGATTGTCGACAAGGTGGGCGCGGTTGGCTATTACTTGGTTGGCGCTATTTTCACACTTTGGCTTTGAAAATGGGTCTAGTCGCTACAAGTATTAGCGTGGGGCGATAGAGCCTACAGCGTTGGTGTGTTGATCGCCGACCTACTCGATCGAACCCTTCGAGTTGCTAACGTGTTTTTAGCCAGTGTGTTGAACGACAAGGATGGTGCAAGGGAATCATTATTAAGGGCGAGATTCGCTCCAGCTATCCATCAACCGCTTCTGTAAGGTTATCGTAGCGCTGGGCCTCCAGAACACTTGTGATCGTGCTCGCGAGGGACATGCTGTTTTGGCCGAGAATGTGGAGAATGGCCTCCGAGTACATGCCTGGTGTCACGTTGCTGGGCATCGAACTCGTTGCGGGCACCATTGGTGGCGTGAAGCGGGCAAACGACGTCAGCTGCGCACCATGCGTTCCACTCTGCGCGACCACAATCCTACAAGCAGACAAATGGTCGTCTCTGCGTCGCACACTATGGTACCAGCAACATTGATTGTCGACAAAATGACTGGGATCAGACGGAAACAACGCATCGTCCACGATCGAGCGACTCACAAAGACGACGCGGTCGGCTTCAGTAAACCGCTGGGACAGGAGGCGACCGTTCACGGGCGGCAGCGCCGACGGCAGCATGGACGCCACATACCGACAGTACACGACGTCCGATTCCAACTCGACCTCCTACAACACACCTTACCATACAGGTAGACTACTAGCACGTCCACCAACCTCGGTATCGCAGACGGTCGGCGGCTGGGGCGTGACCTGCAGCGTGAGCAGTGCCCACACAATGTCGGCGATCGACGTGTAC